ACTTTAAAAGTCGGTAAGAAACCATCTGCTGTTACCTGTTTACCACCAAATGACGTCATCTGAAAACAGGCGTTATATTTTCGAATATTGTTCATAAATTGCACATGATCTGGGTGCAGAGCGTTAACCAAACTGTAGAGAGGTTCAGGTAGTTGTTTTAACCTCTCAAGTTGTACTTTTCCGGCGCTACAACACATATCAAGTGTCTCATCTTTCCACTTCAAAGCGTTGCACCACTGACACTTATAGGTCATAGAACCCAAAGCTACACAGGTGTCAGTTCTATATGCAATATCTGGATCATAATATGCCATACCTGAATGCACCTTGCTTTTCCATAGACGCATAGTAGTATTTTCCTTATACCTAGATTCAGTTTGATTCTGTCTATATTTTTGTTGAGCTGTTTTTATTTGTTTTTTTCTTGTGTAATTAGTAAATCTAGCCCTTCGTTTTCTCTTTTTAATTAATGAGGACGAAATTGTATTAAATTTTCAAGCTTTTCTGCCTAACAAATAAATTTTTATCGATATTTATTAAAAAAAAACTAATAATGATCGAAAATTGCAAATACCTTTGAATAGTTAAACTTAAGTCGAAAATTTTTGAAAATTGCATGGTGGATAGAATATACTTATGTAAACATTTGGTGAAAATTTAATGTATCTATGGTCATTTGTTAATGTTACATCAAAAACCAAAATTGATTTTGTCGAAAATTGATTGTGCGTAAAATTTTCCGTTTTACCCTCAATTTTTAGTTTGTTTATCCCGATTATTTATCTTTTGACCCCCCAAAGTACCAACTAGATTCACTTTCTGATCGAACCATCGAACGAAGTACTGAAGTCAAAAATCAAAGCACTTTTAGTGCCCCAAAACGTGATGACAAACACAAAAAAAATAAATAAATAAAAACACACATCGCTCTGCTCAGAATCTAAAAAACTGTAGTTTTCAGATTTTTTTTGTGACAGAATCAAGTACTTATGTAAAACCTTGTTTAAAATTTTTAATTCTTAGCTATTAAAGTTAAATGTTTTATACATTTTTAACAATTAAAGAGTTTGTAAATTTTCTATTATATATTGTCAAAATTTGAATTTTTAATGGTTATAAAAATAAAACCTATATATGCATTTTTAATATTTTCCAATTGCTATTATATTAACTTATGAGGAACGTTGTACTAAATTTTCAAGCTTTTTGATCTAACAAATAAAATATTATTGACAATTATAGAATAAAAAACTAAAAAATAGAAAATTTTATTAAGTATATAAATTGATAACATCAACATATGGTGTTAATTTCTAGTTTCTACAGTTATTCGTTTTTGAATAATAACAAAATAGAATATGGGTACAAGAGAAATTGAGTAAAAATCCAATGTTGTAATTTAAATGCTCATAAACATTAAATTTTACTTTCCAGTAGTTATTTTTATTTGATAAAAGTAGACAAACTCATGAAGAATCTTATATTGAATTATCAAATATTAGATATTAAAAGATAAATTTTTGTGAATTTATAACTAAAAATAAATTGCCAATTTTTGTAATTTTTACATAATTTGTCAAATTTTGAACTTTCAATGCTTACTAATAAAATTGTGACTATGCATTTTTACTATTTTTAACTACCATTGTGACAATATGTTAAGAGCCTTGTGTTACATTTTGAAGCTTTTGTACCCGACAAATAAAATTGTATTATCATTTACCAGTATAAACATTCAGTGGAAATTTCAAGTATCGACAGTAATTTTTTTTAGTTACACCAATATCTAAAATCGAATTTTTCCCGGTGCTTTTGAAAACTATTGAGAATTTCTAAATTTAACCTTAAAATGCACAACTAGAAAATCAAAGCATTATTTCGACAACYTATTTTATACACAGAAAAAAAAAACACAACATTGTGAAATCAATACTGCTACGCTATAAATCTAAAATTATAGATATTTTCTAAATAGTAGCTATAAGCAAAAAATAAAACTTCTTATTGACTAACCTTCAGTAGTATTGAATTATTTTGAAGTTTATTTAGAACTGATTTCCATCTACTAGAAAGTATATCATAACGCTCACGATACATATCATCATCACACAAAGGGTCTTTAAGAGATTTAAATTCAATATAACAAGCATAAATTGAATTTTTAACCTTTTCCCAATTTTTAATATCTTCATCTAATGTGTGCTATTAAAAAAATATAATTATACATTGTAAATTTTAAAAACAATAATAAAAATGACTTTAAATCTTACTTTGATAAATTTCATAGTGACTTCTACATTTTTATCAGGTAATTGAGTACTTTCAAATTCATCTAATTTTTGTTCCACTTCAGTCAACCAGTTAGACATAATATTAATATTAGTGTCAAGAAAATCTAAAGCATTTAAGCCTTTTTCCAGCTTATGTTTTGTGTCATGAATATCTGCTACCAACTAAAAAAAAAAATACACTTTTTGATAAATTAAAATTATTTAATTTAATTTTTGAACATAAATTATAAAAAAAAAAAACTATCATTAGGGGTTTTATGAAAATAGATCAGGCAGCAAATTTGTATGAACTAGCTTCCAAGGTAGAAAGTATGAAATTTTTCTATTTTTCAAAAGTAATACTAAACCTCTTTTTCAACATATTCTTTAATGATTCAGATGGATGTTTCATTTCAATTTTTCAACATAAATTATCATACAAAATCTTTAAAAAATATACTGATGTCCAAACAAATATATCATATTTTTATAATTATATCGAAAATTTTTTAATAGTAAAACAAGTAGCTTAAAAAATCAATATGGGAAATATTTTTTTAATAAAAGCTTTGATATGATGGAAACTATACATTTTTTCCTAGTTACATGTTAATAGAAGTAATTATTTCCCAAAACTTACCTTAGTATACATCTGTTTTATAGTTTCAAGTTGTAGTTGATTTTCACAAGTTTCATTTGAACTTGTCACAAATTCTACTTCATTTTTTAAACTTTCTAATGTAGAACTCATTTTCTGTAATATTTATTTTTTAAATAAGTATTAGTAAAATTCAAAATTCAAAATTATTAATTAACTCTAGGATGAAAATAGTCAATCATGCAATTTAAAATGCCTATAAACAGATTATCATGCTTTTGATGTCACATGAATTTGACCGAATAATTGTCTAGATGATGACGAGCTGTACATCTATGTTTTTTGTTGAATCACTTAGGACCCGTTTTACAATCATAGTTTAAACCTCAGTTATACTTGAACCACTGATTTTACTGGCTGAATTACGTGGTTTAACCAGAGTTCAATTATTGTAATTTGCATGTAATTGGCATTCTATGCGTGAGTAACAGTTTGAGGACTGATAAAATTGTAACACATTAATGGTTAAATGGTTAAATACAGTTTTCTGTAGTTCATTAGTTTTATAACAACACCAATAATATTGGAATGAATAGTTGTACCTTGGTTTATATTGTATTTTATTGCTTGTAGACACAATCCATCTTAATAATTAAGCTAAACAACATTTCATTGTTTCCTGACAAATTCCCCCAAAAATCCATTGTTGAGGTAAAACTCTACTAGCATTATTTTTAAATTATTTAAACAGACTTTTGTTGATTTCTACTATTTTGCTAAGGCCACCAATTTTAACCCAACCAAATTCTTTATTTATTGCCGAACAGTTGTTTGGTATTTGGTAGTTACAATAAATAATAAGCACCACCATGTATTTACAAATATGTTTGTATTCAATGCCTATTCAAAGTGTTTCTTATGTAATAAGAAGAATTATACAGCTAGAATTGAAAATGGTCTTACAATGACCACTGACTGTATTGAAAGATAAACATATGTTACATATTTTAAGAAAAACCTTTATTGGTAATAATTATTATTTATTACATGGTATATTGTCGTAAATAATAAATAACGTAGAATACTTAAAAAAATAGCAAAAATATTGTAGTATTATAGTGATCTGAATTTAATGAATGTGTAGTCATTTACTTATATTATATAATATGCAACTTTAATCCAAATAACTTTTCAAAAAGGTTTTCCTTAAATATTCAATCATAAATTAAACATTATATTGTTATATTTTAATATTATTAAAACGCTTTTTATATGCATGTTCTGTCCTCCCCACCCCCACCATAATTCCTTTATATCAACTAAATTCTATAAAATCATTAATATTAAGTCTTATTTTTATTTCATAAAACTGTTATTGTATAGTATGTAAACTTTATTTACAAATTACTAGTATACTATACTATTATCTATAATATAAACTCTCACATCTGCACTGCCAATGGCTAAGAAGTGACCAACATATAAGTTATATATATTATATCTTTATTGTAAAAATTTTTGTTGGAAAATAAATATATTATTATTATTATTATTATATTATTTTAATATAAACATAACTTGCAATATACCAAATACAGTTTAGGTTTACACATTATTATCATACTATGCAATTAGTCTATTTAAGCACAAGTAATAATTACCAAACATTGTTCTAATTGTCCTTTAATACTATCAGGATCGTCAGAGGCCAGCTCTAAAAGACAAATAGTATTTTCAATAGCTTGTAATTCTCTCAACACTCTAGTAGCACGAGTTAGTAAATCTCCAGGAGATTGATATCTTTCAAATTTCTCCTCTAGCTGATAAAAACGTTTCTAAACATTGAATACAATGATTAAGTAAAATAAACTTAAGTTCAGTTACAAAATAAAACTTTCAGTTTTGCTGAAGAAATTATAACATAAAATAAGATAAATTGTAAAAACAATAAAAATGAATATTCAACTTTTTTAATTTAAATAAATATTAAATAAAATAACTTACTTTTAATAGAGAAAGCTGATCTTTTAGACGATTTGCTACTTCTTTTTTATTTGCTATTTCATAGTTGCAAATTTGTTCTTCCATATCATGCAATAGTTTAGCTTGATTTTGGAATTCATTTGATAATCTCTGTTCCATACAAAAATCAAGGTAAATAAAAAATATTTACAATTATATTCAGGGATAATTTTAAATATACATAAATAAAATAAGAATTAGCCATTCTCAGTAAACGGGAAAATATAACCCTTAAAATAAATAAAAAATTAGTAACAATACAAATGGCTTAGTTAGTATGGTATATTCAAATTATGTAACTGTTGTTTGTTTTTGATAATTTGATAATTATAATAATCCTATTCATTACAACACAATACTACTACATAATTTAAAGTAATTAAGTAACATAAGTATGTTGAAATATAATTACCATTAAACTATTTTAATTATTAAATAATATAAAAATATTTATAACAAATAACGTAATATTTAGAAATTTTTATTAAAAATTCCAGGAAATATTCTAAATTTATATGATCTTTTTTTCATATTACCAAAGATGTTATAATATATCTTAAAGACTTAAAATCAATGGTTATACTATTGTAACTCTTAATGAATTTGTATAAACTATAAGCTGCAACCATGATACAATGTTTATAAAATATAGTGCTGGTATTATTTAAGTAAACCAAAGAGGAAACTTACCACTTGTCATTGATATTTAGGACTATAATCTTGGTGGTATTTTATCTTAAATGTATGAGGATTCCTTTAGTTATCTATTCCTTATTTTTAACTGTGATTATGGTACTCTTCAGTATTTACCTCAAAATAATGATAAACCAGTGCATTGAAAAAAAAATAAACTCTACATATTTTCAAAAATTATTTTACTACTATGACCTAGTCAAGAGGTTGGGAAACCAAATTGAAGAATATTTTCATGTTAAATTGTTTGAGACCTGTAAGGGCATATATGACAAAAAGACTTAAGCTTAAGGCCAACATAGCAACTCAAGTGTCTCAAGTAATGTTTTTGATTTAACCTGTACAAACAACATAACAATCTAGTTACCATAACTCACTGGATTACTATGCATGCACAAAAACTAGGCTTTTACTCTATGACCTTCAGATTATTTGGTAACTCTTAGTATTCTGTGTATTAAATCACTAATATTCAAATATTAATATGGAATATTTTCCYTGGATAAGCTTATTCTTTATCAATATTCAACATATATTATTAAAAGGTTAATTTATAATAATTGTATATTTTTTTGAATAATTGGTTTTAATGAAAAGTGTTATTAAATATCTAAAAATATGTATTTTGTTAAACAATTATTATCAATTAAAACAATTATTTACTAAAACAGAATTTAAACTTGAAAGTATTCCTTTCAGAATCTATGATTTTTAAATTTCATACTCTGAGCACATCCAGTAATATTTAGAATAGTATATTGACATTTAGATCAAAATTGACTCATCTATGAATATATTAACTTACTTCAACATCATTAGGTAGATCTTGTGGCGAGAAATCATTTTGAATCCGAGATGTAAGTTGTTGATCAGTAGTTTCAAGCCATTGTTGAAATTCAGCAATACAATTTTCAGATTTCTGTGTTTGTTCAATGCTTTCTTCTAAACGTTTAACTTTTTCTTCTGCCTAACGTAATTGTATAACATAAAAAAAACGGGTAAGTGGATGTCGCTCTGCTGTACATTAGGTGGTGGGGTGGACATCTGACTAGGGTAGGTTAGATTTGAATGCAATGATAGGTATCATTGTATACGAAAAACGATTCCGAACGGAGATGATTTGTCAGTCAAGGATATATTATATTTAAATATTTCATATATTCTATTTTGAAACAAATATTTTATTTTTCAATTAGGACATTTTGCATAAAGCATAGTTAATCAATTTTTCCAAAAACATTGCATGTAGTTATCATAATTCATAATACCTTATATTATCATAGATATACATAATATGTATTATACCTGGTTTGAGGATAAATCGTTATCGTTACGCTATTTCGTGAAAATTTAAAATTCAAACACACTTAAAATTTTTCCTATAATGAGTCTTCGAGTCTTCTCGAAGAGATACTTGAAAGAAAACTTATTTGAACTATAAACGCTTATAAAAAAAAATTGTGATAAACGATTTTTAATTTCATTGAGCTACAATAAGAACAACTCATAATGAACCATGTATTAAATTTTCAAGTTTTTATGGTCATCCAAAATTTTTTTACCAACACTTTCAAAAAAAAAATTAGCATAAAAATCGAAAATTTCAGTGGTCTATAAATAACTCAAAAAAAGTCAAAAAAATTTGATTGATTGAAAATTAAACTGTATATAGATAACACTAACATAAACATTTGGTGAAAATTTCAAGTATTTACAGTGATTAGTTTTTGAATTACAACCATATAAAAATATCAATTTTTTTGAAAACTGTTGGAAAATGTTTACTTTTGACTTCTACAAGGCACTAAGGATATTCACTTTTAAATCAGAAACCACCTCGCAGTTTGAAATTGAAGCATTATTTCGACTAGTTATGCAGTACACAAACAAAAAAAAAACACATCATTGTAAAATCAATACATTCATTACTCCGTTCAGAATCTAAAAATAATAAAAATATTTTTTTATTTTGAGATCAAAGGTAAAAGAAGATTTTAACATAATATATTGGAATATATTTTAATCTTAAACATATTAGTTTTAAAGGAGAAAAAAAGCCTAAAAATAAAGGGCAGTCTTCCCTGTTTTTATCAATGCCAGATAAAAAATAAATAATTAATTGAACTATAATTTTAAATTGATAAAAACGAAATAAATAATTACTTGAGTTGTAAGTTTTTTGCAACGTGATGTGACTTTAGCTAAATCTACTTTTATACTAGATGCCATTACATTGTGATCTGATAGCACCGCACCAATTTCATTTAATCGATCAACTCTAGATTCTGGATGATTTCTGAGGCAATTTTCTAAGTCCTAAAAAATCATCATTAAGTATGATTAATAAACTTTAATAAAGCTTGGTATTTTGATAAAATGTATTAGTTCAATAAAAATGATAAATTCTACTAATTTTTTTTTTAAATAAGTTTTTTTTTTTATGAAATATAAAAATCAATATTTTTAACTATCTATATTACTTACTAAATTTTTTTCAAAAATCATATAAACAGCTAAATAAAATTTGTAAATAAATACTCACATCAAGTTCTTCAGATATTTCTTCCGCATCAGTTGCTATTGTTTTCACACTTTTTTTAAGACATTTATCTAATTTGTCAAGCCATACATTCTCTTGAGACATTAAAACTATACATATACAAATATTATATACATTATAAATAATCATATWTTACTATTTTCACTTTTCAATGGGGAAATTGAAAACAGGTTTCAATTTTATTTGTGAAGATTGGAAACAAAGACTAAGACTGACTAGTCAATAGGTCAAAAACATTAGCAATAAATAACTAACCTTTAAACTCAGAATGTAGTTGTACATCTTGTTGCAAACGGTTTCTTATAAGTTGTACACCATCAAAAACTTTACTCCACTTCAAAACTAACATTTTAACATTATCATCTTGACTGAGTTCTAAATAAGATAAKTTTTAGGTAATTAAATCAATAAATGTCTTTATTTAACATTAAAACTAACCAAGTTTTTCTAATTTTGGTTTATTTTCTAAAAGTTTATCATGCAGAGTGTGGTATTTATTCTTTAATTTTATAAGTTCGCCAGCTGAACCTACAGGATCATTTTCTCGATATGAATGACATTTTTCTACTTCAGATACACATTTTTTTACATCAATAAAATCCTGAAGCAATTATTATAGTTATAAATGATATTAGGATAAATAATATTATACATATACATAATGATATTATATTTAAATTACCTTTTCAATAGTTTTTAATCCTACAATAGCAATATCTTCTTTAAATTTCACAATTGTATTCAACTTTTCTTTAATAGACTCTAATTTTTGATTCATATCAATCTTAAATTTTGTATCCACTGATGACTCTAATATATTTATCATATCACCATGCAGTTTCTCATATAATTGAGATACAGAATCGCAGACATCCTGTGAATAAATTATTTATTTATATGAAAACATAAAAAAAAATGCTTATTTAAAATGTTTTAAGTTATTTTATTTTCATACATTTATCATTTTTAAATCTGGTTGATCACTTTGAGAATTATAATAATTGAACAGATCTTCACTTTGTTCCATTAAATCTTCTAATGTTCTGAAATTAGATTCTAATTCAAGGACTAGAAACAAATCTATAAATAAACATAACTTAAATAGTAAATAATGAAAACAATTAATTGAAAAATGGTTAATAATAAAAACCTTTTTGTAACTTCAAAATTCGTTCATCTAACAGTACTGGAATATCACTCCATCTTGTGTTTAAATCTTGAAGGTCTTCAGTTAACCGTTCTGCAGCTACATCACTATTTAGCTTTTCTAAAATATCTTGCCCGAGTGTATTTACCATTTCTAGAGTATCACGACGGTCATTTACTGACTTTTGCATTTCCTTTAAATGTTCTAATTGATTTGTTAAAATTTTTGAATAATTCATTAGAACTGGTTCACCCAATAATACTCCTTCCAATTTATTAATCCAGCCAGTAAGTTCTTCTTTCGATTCTTTAAATTTTATGTTGGAATTGGTTTCTTGTGATAACTTTGCTTGTAACTCATAAGTTGAAAATCTAAAAAAAATACATATTTTTAAAATGTAAAGTATTTATTTATTTATTTTTTTTTGAATTTAATACATACTTTTCGTTCAAAGAACTCCAACTAGATACACATTTTTCAACTTCATTTCTTATAGGGTCATTGGAATCCAATAGTTTACTATGTGTATGTAGTTTAGTTATACGCTCTTCAAGAGATTTTAATGATTTTAATTTTACCTAAAAGAGTATTATTTAATCATATATGTTGTCAATTGTAATGGTAACATCCTAATGAATTAACTAACCTTTATTTGTTCAAATGTACAATTTCCACTATCCAGCCATTTAGCATATCCATCAAATATTAATTTTAAATTGTTCATTTCTTTTGATGTCTGTTTTTTTTCAAGGTTATATTTAATTTTATTTTTGAATGTAACCAAAGAAGTTTCCAAATCACTAAATTCTGCACATAATTTATTATAGTGATCTACTCTAGGGAATGGGGTATTATTACCTAAGGGAAAATAAAAATAATTATTTATCAAATTATAATTTTAGTAAAAACATTAAAATTAATAGAATTATCATTACTTTCAATATTTTTAAAAAATTTACTAGCAAAATCTAATTGAGATTTTTGACTGTCAATTTCAGACATTATATCTTCATATAATGCTGCTTGTTCTTCTACTTCTAAAGGCTCATCAAGCAATTTTTGAGTTCTTTTTAACCAATTACTTAAGTTTGATGTAGCATTATCATATTCATCTTCTTGAAATGATCCACCTTTCCTTCTACGCTTCCAACCAAATTCCTTAAACAATACAACATAATATAATGCAATATTAAATATGCAATTAAGACAAATAATAAACACAAAAAGAATTAAAATATATACCTCAACATCCAACATATTTAAATTATCGTCAAATGAACTATCTTCCAAAAGTTTTTCATCTGTTTTTTCTGAATTTGAATTGCATATTAATTCAAATTCAAAACCAGCATCTTGTATCTAAAATTGAAGTATAATTCTCTTAGTAATTTTAATACTAAATATTCTTAACTTAAAAAAATATATATATTACTCTATTATATTTAAATATATAATACAAATAAAATATTAATGGGTTTTATGATTATTGAGTAAATTTTATTAAAAATAAAAATATTTTTTTTTTAATCTAAAGTAGTATTTTTTTTTAAATGTYCACTCCTTTATACTGCTAGTTAATTGTTATTAATGAAATAAACATACTCTCTGAGCTTGTATTTCAATAATTTGTACTAAAGCATCACATCTGTCTTGTAGAGTTTCTATTTTTTCGGAATAAGGACAATCTTCTGTATACAAAAATTCTTCTTCTAAACTCTGAATTTTAGTTTGAAGATGAATAATATTTTTTTGTTGACTTGACATTTGGTGGCGTAAAGTCTATAATAATTAATGAATTATTTATAATTTAAAAAAATTATTTAATTACGAGTAGTAAAGTAAATTACTTGTAACTGTTTGATTCTATCCAAAATCTCTGCCACTTCGGTTACGTGTTTAGATTCCATGTGTTTAAGATTTACTTCTTTTGAATCAAACCATGATTGTAACCATGATAGTTGTTCTGTTATACGACTACATTTCATTAATAATGTCTGTAACTTAACACCATATTCTTCAGCCCATTTACAAATATGAGCCCAACGCTCACCCAATGCAGATAATTCATCTTCCATTTGTACGTGCACTAAAAAATTATATATTTTTTAAACAATAAAAAGATAAAAATTTGTTATTAACTTTTCACAGTTCCTAAATTATTTCTATATTCATAAAAAAAAAATTAATTTAATAGATGAATAAAATTTTGACATACATAATACATACATACGTTTTTACTGTTAATGTTTTTCTTTATTTAATTGGGTTTTATCTTTTTAACTAAAATATTTATTAATATTCCTAAGTTGTTCAAACTTTTTTAAACCACGTGATGTATGTGTCTTCATAATATTTTGAAGGCTTTCAATTCATTAATGACAAAAGAGATATTGTCATATAAACGTTATTTTATTATTAAGTTATTGATCATATGAAAAGAAATGTGCGGGTGAATAATGATTAAAAAATTGGATGTGTTTCTATATTGTTTACATTATTGCTATCATCAATAAATTTTAATTTCATCTTTTTTCTGGTTCTTTAATACAACTCTCATCACCCCAACTACGGTGGTGCCCTTGAAACTACACAGTTTAAATACCTCTGTAATATACACTGATAAAATATGGAGATTAAAAAGACAGACAAAAATATATGTCATTGGTTTAATATTCATCATTGTTTTTTTAATTTTCTATTCCTGATTCATTTTCTAAGTAGCCTGTATGTATTCTTATTTTGGATCTTTTCTGTTAGTTCACTACCACTACTTTTTTTGTTTTTCTGTTAATTCATTATCCTTAGTCCACACACATATTATTTAAATTCTGGGGGTAAGAATGGTGCCATATGTGTATATATTCTACAACCTGGTGATAAACATTCATAGAATTTGAAGTATTAGGAAAAGCATGTATAAGTTAACAAAATAGTGAAAAATGAAGAAGAATTAAAAGATTAGTAGATAAGCATCATTATTTTGAACACTGAATATCTAAATTAATATTTAATATAGGAAAAAATAATAAAAATAGCTCAAAAATGCTAACCAGAATCAGGAAATGTATTTTCATCAATAACTACCACAAGATTAGATAATGAATCAACTGATAGCTGCTGTTTCCTTAAATCAGCTCTGAGTGTAGAATGTTCTTCAAGTTGTGAACGCAAGCAGTCAACATCCATTTTTGCAGATTGTGACAAACGTGATATACGATCTTCAGTTTGTGTTAACCACAAACGTAACTCATCTAATTGTTTTTGCTGGATGCCCATTAAAGATTCATGAATTCTAAATATAAATAATGGTAAAAGTGGAATAAAAAAATGAATAAAATAAAAATCATATATATACAAATATATTCAACTAACTTTGTTTGTCTTTCCATAGCAGTAATTCTTAATTTTTCCCATCGTGAATTTAACAATTCCATTTGAATACGAACTTCTTGTTCTTCTTCTTCAGTTAAACCACCATCAGCTAACATTCTAGCTCCTTCTTCTAATATTGAACCAACTCCTTCTTGATGATGCGACAATTCAATAAGAAAATTCTTCCAGAGAAAATTTTAAATCAATAATTAATTAATTATCTCAAATATATTTTAAATGCATTTATTATCACAATAAATTAATTTACTTCATGCATGTGAAATATTTCCCTAACACCCTCCAGTTCTTCTGGTGTTTTTTCTGACTGGTGCAAACGATCTTCAGCTTCTAGTAACCATGTTAAAACTTCTTCTAATGCAGTTTGATAACCGCCAAGTTCAACCGAAATATTTGTTAACATACTCAATGGCCTTTCATCAGACTTTTTAAATTTATCTTCATACTAAATATTTTTTATATTATTAACATAATATTAGAAAACTTTTTAAATTTTAATCTTTACTTGTATATCAGACTTTGAAGATCCCATTTCATATGAATGTTGAGATAGTCTTTGAAACAAGCACATTACATACATCATAATAGATTTTTTGTCTGGGATAGAAGTATTAACATCTAAATAAACGAAACAACCGAATACAAATTAATATAAAATATAAATATTTAAAAAATATAAAATACCTTCAGGATCTAATAAACGTTCAATATTTAAATTCTGATGAGCAGCAGAAAATATATTTTCAAGTCTAGCATTTGGATGTTGTTTTAAAACAGTATCATAATCTAAAAGATCAGATCTAAATTTATGTATCAAAGCACAAAATGCTAACCCATCTGACCAACTTGTAGTAAAATTTTTAATATCAACATCATAACCCTGAAATTTATCATAAGGATTGAAATTACATTGTGTAATATAATATTTAATTAATATCTTACTTCTGTATTTTTACGACACCATACCAATAATGTCTTTTCTAAGTTTGTTTGCTGTGATTCAGACATTAATTCTTTCAAATGACAATCAACCTAATAATTTACATAAAAACTATTGATAAGTGATTATTTAAAGTTTAAACCATATTTTATTGGTTTATTAAAAAAATTTACTTTTATTTAATAAATATAACATAAAAGAAAAAAATGTTTAATTCACCTGCCAATGCAATATAATACTCCATACTAATCCTAAAATTAGTTTTGGACTGCCATCAACTATATCATTACTACTTATATTCACCAACTTCACCTAAAAATTAATATCATCATTATAAACTTACAACAATATATAACTTTGTATTCAAAAATAGGAAATGTTTTTTTTTATAATACTTACATTATTTTGCTCCAATATTTGTAATGCTTTATTTACATTATTTAGATGGTGAACTCTCATACATCCTTTTTCTGGTTTCTAAAAAAAAAAAATTACATCAGGTCGAATATTAAATAAACATACAACATAATATAAGTACTTACAATTTGAATGCCAGTTAGAATTTCTAACAAATAAAGTAGTTTAGTACCATTCTGTAGATCCAAAAATAAGTCAGATATGACTTCGTGATTTTCCTATAACCACATATAGATATTTTTTTAATGACAATATTGAATTAGAACTTTATTGAAAAAAAAATATTAACTCACTTTTGACAGTTGTGAATTTATCCATTTGGTAAATGTTTTCTTTTGAACATCTTCACGTTCATCTATATTTAAAAAAAATAGATACAATTCATTTGTAACTAACTATATAATGTAGATAAACACATCTACACACTAATAAGATAGCATTAAAGTAAACAGTAGGTAGGTATTATACAGTATTATATAAAACACGCCCACATGTTTCATATCATCAAATAATATGACAGAACTCATTAAATATAGGCACAACTCACAAATATTACAGAAACAAAAGTGATTATGACTTTATAACTCCAATATTAATTGAATAACATTAATGTTTGTAAGTAAATATTAATTTTTTTTTAAAGACAATACTACATGTAAATCAGTTGACTACAAAACCTAGAAAATTACTAACACACATAACACATACTCAACAGTGTATAAATTAAATGTTCTTACCTATTTATCTTTTTAGAAATATGCAGTCAAATATTTTATAGTTTATTAATCTATTAGGCTAAACACCTAAATCATCTTATAGTTTTAGATATAACTTTAATGTCAAACATATATTTATCTACAATTTTAATTGTGACCATGATTTAAGATTGAATATCTTAAATTTAGTCCACAAATAACATGTTACAATTAGCTTGAAAATGATTTATCAATTATAAATTTTTCTAAGTATTTTTTGAATTGTTCCATTTGAACAGTAAACAAAATTAGATACATGAATATTTAATTGTTGGAAATTTAGAAATATTTGTATGGTTTTATCATGGCTATCCATAGCTACAATAGAACACTTACAGATACAGAGTGCAAATTATCTTAAATGTATATTTCTCAAATGCATAGAATGTTTAACACACAAATTATAGAACATCAACAGGTAATATTGTAAATTTACTTTGGAAAACAGCGACATTTAATCATAAAGGCAATAACGTTAAAAGAAATGAAAATAGTCTCCTGACGTTGTAAAAGACTCTTGTAGATAATAAAATACTTCTAGAGCAGGAGCAACATTAAGTATCGGGAACCAACCAATTAAGAAAACTGCGACACGTTTGTCGAAATATGGTTAAGTATAAACCAACCGACGTACGTACCGACGAGTATGTTGTCCATCGTAGCTTTATTATTACGAGGCGACGACACGGAAGTCTTAACGACCGGAATTCGCAATAGAAAACTAGCAACAGGTGTCCACACTATTTCACATAATGCATATTGGACGTGGGGATTAGTTGAGAAAAATACACAAAAGTGCGCCGGAGTTTCGTGAAGTTTAGACGGTCAGGCGGCGAACGAACGAGTTAAGTCTAAAAAGCTCCGTCGTCATCGCGACAGCCGGGTAATAAATCTCTGGTATATTACACGATTATAAGTTATAAATGTTCACTGTGTTCTGTACTACTGTGTTTGAGTGTTTCGACTCTTGGAAAGATTGACCCGGATCGCGGCAGTGCTCGTTTATCAGTCGTGATATAATACATTTACATTATGTATTCGTCGGGAAAAATAAATCGGTCCGCGTCGACCGTCGCGGTTTGTACGCTAGATGCCTTTAGTATCGCGGTATGGTTCCCCCGCCTGACAATCAACCTCAAGKCCCCCTCTTGACCATCGCCGATCGTAATATCGTATGCTTTAATAATAATAGTAATTATTATTTTTATTTTTTATAATGTATATCACCTACGCCGTTCCATATTACAATACCTATACTATATAATATTTACAATACTATAGAGTATAGATATTTCTAAAGCAGTTATTAGTATTTACTTAATACTTTGATATCTACGTGTATAGTTTAAATATACAGAATACATAATATGCAATAATATATTATATTAGATATTAGATATTTATATTTTATAATATGCATTTTAATAATATACAATATAATTTGTTTTTCCTTTAAATCTGAATCTCGTACACAGTTACACCGTATAAATTCTACCAGTAGACCCCTTCAACGCAACCAAATTGAATTGAATTCTCCTCAACAACCTCGAAGACGGTTCTTGTCATATATTTTTCGTCGGTATTATAACACAATTTTCTACTTATTATTATTATTATTATTGTTTAATTATTATCTACCCGTTATACACTTTATCTTCAATCCGGCGCAGTGCGCACTCGTCCCGAACACTTGCACTGCACACGGCATTCGCTATTCATACCGCTATTCATTTCCGGTTTTTCTCGACCGTCCATTTCCTCTGATCGTGGCAAATTCGCAATTACCAATTCACCGTTATCAATACCGACACAAGCGATGTCGGATTGCCGTGCACAGCAGATTGCAGACGTTGGATCGCCACCGGACATTTGGGTGGAAAGATGTGGCACGACGATGGTACAGACACCAGACGACGAATAAGTGTTCGTCCTCGAACCATTGTTTTCGGTTCGTCGTTGTACCGCTGTTGGTGAGTAAAATAAGTGTCGTGTTTCGCTCATTTATCCATTCGCACCATAATTATAATGACGAGAGGCCTAGGCACGTCAATCAATTTACACGATATTCACACTATTCTTTTGTGAAACAGTGTATCTGAAAGTGGCCCAATAGTTTGGATTCTGCAACAGATTGATGGGTTGTAATTATGCCGATAGATATGTATGATGTTATTTATGTACCCAAATACTAAGGAAAGGTTACATCAAAGTGATAGCCAAACCTAATATTCACTTGGTAATAGATGCGTGCATGTTTTAGACATGAACAACATATGGAACTATAAAGGTAGTTTGAATGAATGACTTACATATTTTGTTTGTGTATGCTTGTTATTGTACAAAAATGAATTTTGATGATATATCAATTTTTGTGGTTACTGATTATTAATTTTCAATTACATAAAGTGAAAACCATTCTCGTTGTAATCAAAATAATTTCTTTTATACATATTTGTTTTTTTTTTTTTTTTTTTAATTTTGCAATTTAAAATAATATAATATTTTGTATTTACCGAAAATATTTCTTTACAAATATGATGATAACTTCTTTTATATAATCATAATATTAAACTTGTTACTCTAAAATGAATTAATATCTGATGTTAATTGAAATTCAATA